AACCAATTTGACAATAAATTTCATATATAAATAAAAAAAATACACTACAGAGAATCCATAGTAAACTAGAGAAAGCATAAAATTGGATTAGCAAGCTGGAAGACAGAGTAATTCAAAGCAACCAAGCTGAACAGCTAAAAGAAAAAGAAATAGTAAAAAATGAGAACAGTTTAAGGGAACTCAGTGACATCATCAAGTATAATAACATTTGCCTTATAGTAATCCTAGCAGGAGAAAAGAAGGAAAAGGGGGGCAGAAATTTATTGAAGAAATAATAGCTGAAAACCTCCCTGATCTGGGAAGGTAACATATACAGATTCAAGAAGCACAGAGACCCCAAACAAAACCAACCCAAGGGGGCCCACATCAAGACACATAATAATTGAACTGGCAAATAGTGACATAGAGAATTTTAAAAGAAATAAGAGAAAGGAAAATATCTATATCATCTATATCCATATCTATCTATATCTATATCTATATCTATATCTATATCTATATCTATACCTATATATCTATATCATCTATCTCTATCTATCTATCTCTCCCCATAAGGCTTTCTGGTGATTTTTCAGCACAGACATTGAAGTGAAGGGAGTGGCATAATCAAAGTGATGAAGAAAAAATGCAACTAATAATACTCTATCCAGTACGGCTATCATTCAGAATACAAGGAAACATTAAGAGTTTCCCAGGCAAAAGTTAAAGGAATTTATCACCACTAAATTAGCGTTACAAGAATCATTACAGGTAATTCTTTGAGGGTGTCTGGGTGGCTCAGTCAGTTAAGCATCTGACTTTGGATCAGATCATGATCTCATGGCTCATGAGTTCAAGCCCCCTGTTGGGCTCTGTGCTGACAGCTCACAGCCTGGAGCCTGCTTTGTATTCTGTGTCTCCCACTCTCTCTCTCGTCCCCGACTTGTGCTCTGTCTCTCCCTCTCAAAAATAAAAAAATTAAAGGAAATTCTTTGAGTGGAAGGCCAGAATCAGGAGCAAAAAAATTAGAAAAAAAATAAAAAACCTTACAGGTAAATAGAAACATAATAAAAGTAGTAGATTAATACTTATACAACCAGTACAGAGATTAAATCACAAAAGCAATAAAATGAACTCTCTCTATATATATATCTATCTATATCTATCTATATCTATCTATCTATCTATCTATCTATATATATATAGATATATATCAAGCAGGGGATTCACAAAATAAAAAGACGTAAAGGATGACATTATACACATAAAATATGGTGTGGGATATAAAAAAATCAATACTTTTAGAATAGGTTCAGACCTAAATGACCGTACACCTAATATGGACTGCTATATGCATCGGATGATATATGTGAACCTAATGCTAACAACAAATTTTTTAAAATGTCATAGATATGTAAAAAATAAAGAGAAATAAATTCAAGCATATCACTAAAGAAACATATCAAAATATAAGAAAACTGAGTGAGAGAAGAAAGAACTTTAAGAAACCAACCATAAAAGAAGTAACAAAATAACAATATGTACCTACTAATAATTACTTTGAATATAAATGGATTAAATGCTTCAACCAAAAGTGATAAGGTGACTGAATATACAAGAGGAAAACTTATCTATGTGCTGCCTAGAAAAGACTCATTTCAGACCTAAAGACACATGCAGATTGAAAGTGAAGAAAGAGAAGGGCGCCTGAGTGACTCAGTCGATTAAGCGTCAGACTTCAGCTCAGGTCATGATTTCATAGTTCTTGAGTCCAAGCCCTGTGCTTAGTCTGTGCTGATAACTCAGAGCCTGGAGCCTGCTTCTGATTCTTTGTCTCCCTCTCTCTTTCTGCCCCTCCTTGGCTCACACTCTGTCTCTCTTTCTCAAAAATAAATAAACATTAAAAAAATTTAAAAAAGAAAGTGAAGAAAGAGAAAAAAAAACATTTATCATGCAAGTGGAAGTAAAAAGAAACCTGGGGTAGCAATATTATATCAGACAAAATAGACTTTAAACAGACTGTAATAAGAGACAAAGAAGGATGTTACATAATGATAAAGGAAACAATCAAACAAAAAGTATAACAACTGTAAATATCTAATGCCCCCAAAATGGGAGCACCTAAATAAATGCAGCAACTATTAACATCAATAAGGGGAAAAATTAATAGTAATAATAATATTAAAGCACTTTCACATCCTTCTTACATCAATGGATAGAGATAAAAATCAACAAGGGAACAGTGGCTTTGAATAACACATTGGACCAGATTGACTTAACAGATAACTTAAGGACATTCCATCAAAAACTGTAGAATACACATTCTTCTCAAGTGCACATGTAACATTCTCCAGAATAGATCCCATGTTAGGCCATAAACTAAGTCTCAAAAATTAAAAAAAAATATGTCATGCATAATTCCTAATCACAATGATATAAAACTAAGAATAAATCACAAGAAAAAATCTGGAAAGAACACAAACACATGGAGGCTACATAACTTGATACTAAAAATGAGTGAGTCCACCAAGAAATGATGAAATACATGGAGACAAGTGAAAATGAAAACACAACAGTCCAAAATCTTTGGAATGCAGCAAGATTTGTTCTAAGAGGGAAGATTAAATACAGGCTTACCTCAAGAAGCAAGAAAAGTCACAAATGAACATCCTAACCTTGCACCTAGTAGAACTAGACAAGGAAGAACAAAGCTTAAAGCCAGTAGAAAAAATAAAATGATAACAATTACAGCAGAAATAAATGAAATACAGAATAAAAAATAACAATAGAACAGATTGGTGAAATCAAGAACTGGTTTTTGGAAAGATCAACGGAATT